CCCAAACCTCGGGCCGCCTCCGCGCTCAGGACCATGGACAGCTGCCTTGCAGGCGGGCGAAGCTCCGGTGCGTCTGAGCCCGGTCTTGTCCCCCCGGGCGGGCCCCAGTCCTCCGGAGGGTTTGCAGCGGATGCTCAAGCCCTGCCTGGAGATGTTGGAGAGCACCGGAGAGCTCCGGCTCTGCCGTGGGGCTTCAGCTGCTCCCTTTGCAGGTGGGAAGGAGGGTACGGTCTTTCCCACGGCGACACATCCGCAGGGGCTACCCATGCTCCACCTTCCAGGTGTGAAGAAAGCCCAGGGCACATCACATGGGGGCGGCCAGCACTCGCCATGGCAAGCAGAATTGTGGGCCCCTGGCCCACCTCGGTCAGCAGCAGCGACAAAGACATGACATCAACATCGGGGGGTTGTGGGGGGAGGTTTAATGAGAAAGCAAAATAGTAGGCATTGCCTCAGCCCAGGGTGGTGCCTCCAGCTATGTTGGGACTACACCACCCAGCATCCCTGGCTGAGTTGTGCAGGGGGCAGGCACCCAACCCAGCTGGAGTGTTCCAGCTTGGGGAAGGCTGGTCCCAGGACCGTGTTGGATATGAATTTTTTGATCCAGATGAGCATCAGTCCAGATAAGCCGGAAGTCCTGTTGGTGGGCAGATCGAGGTTTCAGGTAAGTGACTTTGACCTTGTCCTGGATGGGGTAGCACTCCCTCTAAAGGACAGGGTCCGCAGCTGGGGGGTGCTCCTTGACCCAGAGCTGTCACTGGAATCCCAGGTGGCGGCGGTGGCAAGGAGTGCTTTCCTACAGCTTTGGCTGATCCACCCGCTGCGTCCTTACCTGGACAAGCACTGCCTAGCAATGTTGATTCATGCTCTGGTAATCTCCTGGTTGGATTACTGTAATGCGCTCTACATGGGGCTGCCCTTGAAAACAGTCTGGATACTTCAGCTGGTACAGAATAGAGATGCCAGGCTGCTGATGGGGACCGGTCATTATTCTCATATAACACCGGTCCTCGACCAGCTACACTGGCTTCCAGATGAAGTCTGGGCCCAATTCAAGGTGCTGCTTTTAACCTATAAAGCCCTGAATGGCTTGGGACCAAGATACCTGAAGGAGCGCCTCTTCCCTTACATGCCCTCACGCCCCTTAAGATCTACGGGAGAGGCTTTGCTCTGGGAGCCCTCTTTAAAGGGGATAGAAAGAACATCTACCCAGAGCAGGGCCTTCTCTGCAGTGGCACCCAGATTATGGAATGCGCTCCCTGGAGAGGTGCGCCTGGCGCCGAGTTTATATTCTTCTCGGTGCCAGGTTAAAACCTTTTTGATTGCTATTTAAAAAATCAATATTTTTATCGTTGAACAGTCACTCTTTTTTGTTTTCAGTTTTTTGTTCTTACATGATCTTTTATTGAATTTATTTATAAAGATAATTTTATTGTTTTTAATTGTATATATTGTGAGCCGTCCCGAGATGCCAAGGCATGTGGTGACAGCATATAAAAGTTTTAAATAAATAAATAAATAAATCACTCAGGGTGTCAGTGATGACCTGACACAGGGTTACATTGCAAATCTTTATTAACACTACCTACAAAACCATAAAATATCACAATACAGTCAAGATGTAAATAACTTACTTGTTCATGGAAATCAAGAGATTTGTTCCACCAGAGAGGGAAATTTATTAAGACATTAGCTTTGTGGACTAGCATTCATCAGGTGTGTGGGTGAAATGCACCCATAAATGGAAAAATGTAGAAACTAAAATGAAATGGTGGTGGAATGCAAAATGGAACGTCTTCGAAGGACACGTCTGTGGAGGTGCTGGCGGAGAAGAAGCCTACAAGTGAGGGCAGCCTAGCAGCAGGGCAGGCCTATCCATGGTTCAAGGAAAAGTTAGACATGCCCAGGGCGGGCATGTCGTGAGTGGATCCGGCTGGAGCTGGGGGGTCAGACTAGATGGCCCGGGAGACCCCTTCTGACTTGCTCTGTTTCTATGTTTCTAACTCACCACCCAAGGCCTGTGAGAAAAAAGAATGAACTGTAACTGTTGCTAATGCACTTGAGTAGTTTTTTTTTTTTTTTAGCAAGAATCTGTGGTTGACAACAAAATAAAGCATGCAAAGAGTTGGAATTAACCATTCAGGATTTTGTTTTTTAAAAACTTAGTAGTCCTAAAATAGGGCTGGGGAGAGAATATATTGCTCCCATCCAATAAAGGCATGACTGAGGGACATAAAGGTCCTCGACAGAGACTGCACAGTTAACAAAGGGTTAGTGTGTGTGTGTGTGTGTGTGTGTGTGTGTGTAGCCCCATCCCTCAAAGATTAGCTGCGCATTGCCCTCATCATGACAACGTTTGGGTATGTCAAAAGGAAATTAGGTCCCAGGTCTAAGATGTTGCTCCATCCCCAAAAACACAGCAACCAGAGAAACAACATCAATGATGAAATCTAACCCTTCTGGGTTCTCAGTCCAGCACTCTGGGGCTAAGCCCCCTTCCCTGGTGCCATTCACTTCCCTCCAGCCACCAATTTTTGGTGGCTTCCCAGCTTTTGCAGTTTCTTTGCCATTCCAAAAGAAACACTTCTCTAGGGTTTAGTTATGGGCAACTTTAAGCTCAAAGATGCTGGTGTTTTTGATATTTTGGTCCTGTCTCTAGGGGTTTCTGCCCCAGGAATCCTTGGAATGTGATTTGTTACTCTTCTCCAAAATTGAGTTTGATTCTCAGGCTGAAAAACATCTACACCCCTTTTGACCAGGTGGAAATGGGGTGCCGAGGTGCATGGTGCAACCGAGGTGCCATTAACCGAAGCATCTCAGTGTGCCTGCTTCCTCCTCCTTTCTGTTTGCTCACACTCCAGATATACGTTGATTTTTTTTCCAAATCCTTTTCATCCAGAAGCTATACACATCATTTCTTACTCTTGGCCAAGCCCATTTTGAATTTTTAAGTGAATTCCACTAGTCGATTATGCAAGATACATAGCAGCACTCTCTCAATCCGAAACCTACAGCTCAACAAATTTACTGAGCAACCTTTAATGTATTACTGTTGTTGTTATGGTTACTATTACTTCTATACCACCCCATAGCCAAAGCTCTCTGGTTAGTGTTGGACACGTAAGAGCATCGTCGTCTCCCCTACACCTTCCATTATCCTTATACTGATTTTTACTACTTTTCTCTTCAGTCGCTATGTACCAGCAGAGTGGCTGGTAGCTCCATGTCAGAGGGGCAGGGTATCCACTCCAGGTGTCAGTCTGAATGCAAAGGAACTCGCCACGGCCCTGAAGCGATTGGGGGGAAAGGCTTCAGGACCATGGACAGCTCCTTATAGACTATGCTCAAAGGCAGATGGATCACCTCAGTGTCTTTAGAGCCACACCTTAAGATGAAAGGCCGTGCAGGATGAGGCCAGGCCCATCTAGCCCAGTACTGTGTTCCAACAGTGGCCAGTTACCCATAAGCAGGACATGAGCGAAGGGCGCCCTCCCATCCAAGTTCCCTGCAATGGGTTCCCTTCAAGTCTTTGATACTGGAAGTAGCACCTGGCCATGAGGTCTGGCAGCCACGAATCGTCTTCTCCTCGATTAATGTGTCCAATACTTTTAAAGCTTTCCGAAGAGACAGTGCTCACTACACCTTGTGAAAGTGGATCACATCATTTCACTCTGTGCCATGTGAAGTTCTCCCACCCATCAGCTTCATGGGCTTCCAGGAGGATGGAAATTTGGGGAAATGTTTCCCTCTCCACTTTCTCCGCACCAGGCATCATAATTCTGTATGCCTCCATCAGGTCTCCCTTCCCTTAAGCTAAAACGCCACAAGCGCTTTCCCCCTTTCCTTGCTGAGCTGCAGCTCAGGGATCGGCACCCGCTTTGCAGGCAGAATCTCCCGGTTCAACTTCCGGCTTCTCTGGGTGGGGCTGGGAAAGAATCCAGTCTGCAGCCTTTGCGGACCACAGCCAGGCGGTCCTCCCATTGACCTGCCTTGCAATAAGCCCATTTCTGATGTTCTGGAAGTCCTCTGCTCTCTTTCCAATTTCACAGGTCCTTTTCTGTACTTGTTTCTATTTTGGGCTCCCTCGTGAGAAAATGTAGCCAGAATTGGGTACGTTTAGCTGATTTGGCTTCCTCAAAAGGCATGTGCTGCATAGCCTTGTTGGGACACAAATGGCTTTCCGCACGCTTGGCTGCGTGACGAGGATGGACGACGATCCCGTGTGCTTTCTCCGGCTGGCTGCAATCACGTGCTCGATCGCTTTTCATGCCCGGGCCACATGCTGAGCAGAAAACACCGTCCTGGGCCTCCCGGCATTCCCCTGCCAGCAGTGGTAGAACTATTTTCCCTCTCCAAACATGCACAGAATTGTTCCCTAAAAGGAGAACCAGGGCTGAGTTTCAATGCTGGTTAGATGGAGGAGGCAGTCAAGTTGGTTTGGGGAGATTTTCAGTCTGTTAGGTGACCCTGTTTGTCAGATGCCCCCCACAATCCGTTTTGAAGGAGGAGGGGACGGCAGAGGATGGGGTGGCTGGATGGAGTCACTGGAGCAGTGGGTGTGAGCTTGAGTGGCCTCCGGGGGATGGTGGAGGACAGGAAGGCCTGGAGGAGTGTTGTCCATGGGGTCGCGATGGGTCGGGTGCGACTTCCAGACTATCAGCAGCAACCTCCTCCCCGACTTCCACCCCCACGGTCACCCAAAACAGCAGCCAAAAGCAAGCAAGCAACCAACCGACCTGTGATGCCTTTGGCACTGAAAAAATGTGCGTGTTAATGGGCAGAATTGTTCTTCTGGAAGGAAACACTCTGGAAAAGCACTTCCACTGGTAAAGGAATTTGGTGTGCCTTTTTTCAAAGCAAAAGCGACTGACACCCCAGTGGCAAATTCAGTGGCAGTGTTTTGCTTCCTGATGGATGGGGCGGGGGGGGGGGGGGAACAGAACACAGAGAGTCTTCCCAATACCTGGAAGCTGCCCACCCTTGGGTGAAGCCAGGGACTTGTAAAAACCGAACCTGATCATGCCCCACCAGCCCCAGGACTTGGCATGCTTGTGGGATTTCTCTCCAGAAGCGCTTGTGTAAGTGGGGAACATGATGCAGATGATTGAGTAACATGAAGCAGACAGAGAGTCATCAGACCACAGGTCCCTCTGGCCCATCATCCTGTTCAGACAGTGGCCAACCAGCTGCCACCAGATCTCACAGCAAGGACAGGAGTCTCCAACGCTCTCTGGCCCAAGCTCCTGATCAGCTGAGATCAGGCTGAAGTGACACTGAGGGAAAGGACCGGCCGGAACGTTCGGAGGTTTCTTTGCCTGTGACGGAAGCTGCATGCTCGGATCTAGGTGTGTGCCCCACAGGAATGCCACTCAGACGTCGTCCGGCTCTTTCCCAGACCTACTCATTCTCCTTATGTCATCATGGGAAGGCTGATGGGAGTGTCTGCCACATTTCTGAACATTCATAGAATTTCTCCCATGTTTTTCCAGTCTGATGTGTCAAAAATGCTCTAGTCTATGCATGTGGTTTCTCCATGGAATGACTCCCCCAACATAGAGATCTGTTCTTCCCCAGTTCTTTCCACAACCCACTAGTTTCCAAGAGTGACAGGGTTCTCCTCTGTGTGGGTCTTTTTATGTTCTTTAAAATGTGTGCTCCGCCTGAAATGCTTACCACACACAGAGCACGTGTATGGCTTCTCCCCCGTGTGGATTCTCTGATGTGTCTTCAGGTAGGAAATCCCAATGAAGCTTTTACCACACTCTGAGCATGTAAATGGTTTCTCCCCTGCGTGCACTTTTAGATGGATGGCATGGCTTCTTCTGTGACTGAAGGTCTTCCCACAGAGGGAGCAGGTGAATGGCTTCTCCCCTGTGTGTATTCTTTGATGTATGGTAAGGCTTGTGCTCCAGCTGAAGCTCTTGTTGCACTTGGAACACTTAAATGGCTTTTCCTTTGTATGAGTGATTCTATGGGAGCTGAGGCTTTTGCTGTGGGTGAAGCTCTTTCCACACAATGGACACATATATGGCTTCTCACCCGTGTGGATTCTCTGATGTGACCTGAGATGTGTCTTCTGGCTGAAGCTCTTTCCACAGTCGGAACAGCTAAATGGCTTCTCCTCTGAGTGGGTTCCATGATGTAAGGCCAGACTTTTCCCACACCCTGAGAATTCCCTGCTGTGTATGCTCTGATGCGAGGTAAGACTTTTGCTGTGTCTGAAATTTTTCCCACACTGCAAGCACTTATATGGTTTCTCCGTATGCGTTCTCTGATGTGATGTCAGGTGTTCCCTCCGACGGAAGCGCTTCCCACACTCTGAGCACTGGTATGGTTTCTCCCCTGTGTGAATCCGTTTATGTTCATTAAGGTGCGATTTGCTGATGCTTTTCCCGCACACGTCACATTGAATCCTTCTCTTTCCTTTGTTCCTTTCTTCGCGGAGTTCTGTTTCATTAAAAGTTAGTTCCTCTTGAGAAGCAAAGAAGCTATTGCCATGCCGTGTTGTTTCCTGCTGCTCTGCTCTTTCACGGAAGCCAAAACCTTCCAAAAAGGAAGATGCCTTTCTCTGCTTCTGTTTGGCTTCACTCTCGGGTACCCTTCTATGCTCCTCCTCCTCCTCTGTAAATCGGCTTCTTCTTACGGATGCTTCATGTGGCCCTTTCCCATTCTTCCTCTCCCGGATGTCGCAGGCTGGAATAGAGGGAAAACGGGTAAGATCCTGAGTGGGAAAGGGAAGTTCAGGTCAGGGAGTTAACCCTATCAATTCTTGCTGTTGGCAGCCGAATGGATGAGCCAATGTCAAACCTTTGCTGATGGGCATTAATTGACTTCTCCATTTTTTTTTAATTTTATTTATTAAAACATTTTTATGCCGCCCCATTCGCCGAAGCCTTGGGGCGGCTTACAACAATAAATTAAAACCACATAAATTAAAATATACACATTAGAATAATAATTTTAAATATATATATATATATATGTATGTATATATACACACACAACATAAAATAAGCTGCCCTGGCCAGATAAAATTCAATAATATTAACATTTAAAATGCTGCTTAAATAAAAAGGTCTTTGCCTGGCGCCGAAAAACAAATAACGACGGCGCCAGGCGGACCTCTCTGGCGAGCGCATTCCATAACTTAGGCGCCACCGCTGAGAAAGCCCTCCTGAGATTCAGCATCTTTCTATCATGGGATGCAGGGACTGGGCCAACACCTCCGCACACAAACCCCAATAAGACATGGGGACTGATTCGAAGTCAGATGCGAAGAAGGACGGTGCTGACAAGGAGCCAAGGCATGTGGAAGAGGAGACCGGAAAGGACAGCAGACACAGGAAATGTGGCTGCTACTAAATCTTTCAGAGACTAGCAAAGCTGAGCCCCCTGAACCCATGGGAATGCAGGCTCCTAGCGAGCAGGAGGTGGGAACCCAAGGCCCAAGAGCCAGGCTTCAAAGGAAAAGGAGAGCAGCGGTCAGAAAGACTTGCCGCCAGGGAGCTGATCACTGGAGCAGCTCCACCTCGAGGGAAGGGCTCTGGGACTTGAAGTCTCCTCTGTTCCTCTGCCAGCCAACCAAGGTACAATGCACCCAAGGCAGGTCAAACACGTACACGGACCCAACACCCAAGTCTGCTGCCATCTAAGGCAGTTCTAGCAAACAGCCACCACTTAAGGGCTCTGTCTCCCTTTAAAGGGATTTGTTTTCCGCTTGGCAGATGCTCAAACACAGCACAATGCTATCCATTATTCTTTCGTAAGCCTTTGCAAAAGAATTCCGCTGGTCGAAAAGAAGAGGAAGCCTTACCCACAGAGGTCAGATTCCCGTAATTCTCCACCATGACTTCCCACTGCAGGGCTCTTTGGCTCGGATCCAGCAGCTCCTGCTCCTCCGCCGTGAAGCACACCGCCACCTCCTCGAAGGACACTGGACCCTGAAAGGAGAAGAGGGGCAAAGTTCCTCCTCACAGGGACAGGGGGGCACCCGAAGGTCCAGCACGGCCGGGTGGCAGAAGCTGCTGCCGCAGAGAGTTCTGCTCAGGGTCCTTCGCATTCAGAGTCGTCCCAGCAATCGCCAACCCAGATGATCTCCAACAATCTCTCCCCTACCTGATCTGGCTGCACAGAAGCCGGTTCAGCTCCATCTCCAAGAAGAGCTGAGACGGTTGGCGTCGCCAGCAACCTCCCTGGGTCTGTAAGCAACACAAACGTGGCAGGACAACATGACATCCTTCATAAACATGACTTACTTACTGACTTACTTTGGAGTTTTTATATGCCGTTCCAGTCGCATAAGCCTTGGGACGGCTTCCAACATAACAACATAATTCAGTACCTTGTCTGCGAACAAGGCACCGGTCACCGTATCGGCATTTGGGCACACCTGCAATGAGCATCTGAAGGGATCGTACAACCCCACTGCATGAGCAGTTTTAGCATTCTTTTATTATGAAGCATGGAGATCTCTTCGAAAAGAGGCTGGACAGCCATCTGGGATGGTGTAACCTGGTGTCCTACAACAGCAGGGGGCTGGACTTGATGGTCTTCATGGCCCCTTCCAACTCATAGAATAGCAGAGGTGTATAGAGTTGGAATGGAGTTGAATATGATCCATTCAAGCTTGAGACAGCTCAAATACCTTGAATTCCAGCAAGGATATTGCTGCTGGGAAAATTCGTTTTGGCTACTATGAGGACGGCATCCAAGCTCAGAGGGAAAGGGAATTCTGAGCAGGGGGTGCGGATAACTTCAGTGGCCCTGCTCATAAGAAAGGAGCTGGTGCTACAACCCCGTGGGCCCCCACCCCCACCGTGGATCTCCTAACTGGGAGACGGGGGCAGCATTCCCATATGCCTGTTTGCCCTTACCTGGCAAAATGCCACGTTCATTTCTCTCCTGTGTGTTCGACAGGAACAGGTGCTTCTTTCTAGCTCTCCATGGAGCTGTCCTTGCCTCTGGGAAATTGGGAGCAACTTCTGCAAGTAAGCCCTGCATAAAATTAATCGAGAGACACCCATACAGAGAAGGAGAAGGAGAACTAGCACAGGAATGGGGCAAAGGGATGGCAGGTATAATCCATCTTTGGAAAATTTCCCCAAAAAGTTATGCAACTGGGAGGGAATTTGTATGACTTCTGAGCTGCTCTTCTACCAACATGTCCAAAACGGTTGGGTGAAAGATGAATTAATATTTCTTAAAGTACTGATAAATTCCTTTTCTGCCCACAGGGGCCATGAGAGCAATGTACCTTTTAAAACAATAATGCAATAATGCCTAAAACCACAAATAGGAACAGAAACGGTAACATAAAATGCAAACGCAGAAATATGGACCAAAAGATGTAGAACGTGCAACGAAAAGGGAGTAGCCCAGTTCAGGGTTCCAGTCAACCTTTCCCTTCATTTTTCCAATGGTAGCTGGTGAGCCTACCTGGTCCTCATTGGACTCTGGGCAGGCTTGCTTCTTTAAGATCCGTTTTTCACCCAGGGTTTCCCCCAGGTAAATGCGATGCCTCCCTCTTGTTTCTCAGTGCCCCATTCTGGCTACCCTCCTGCAGTCCCTCACCGCTTGGGTTTGCCATTAGGAGGAAAGGGAAGAGTGCCACAATCCAAATTAGAGGACTGGCAGCAAAACACAGCTGCTAAGCTAACCAGCATAAAAACCAACAGCAGAAATATTTTGAAAAGCTGTTCAAACTGGTATCAGCAAAGGTTACCTATTGTAAATTCAGTGGTGTCTCATACTTCAAACTTAATTTCAGGAGGCTATTTGAACTCTGAATCGTTTGAAGTATGAAGCAATGTTCTCCATTAGAAATAATGGAAAGTGGATTAATCCATTCCCAGACCCTAAACAATACCCATGTCAGTATGTAGGGGTTATATATATAACCAAAAAATAAAGCAAGAAAAGGCACTTAAAAAATCAAAAAGGCACACACTGAAAAGGCAGAGAGATCCTTTCCCAGTGAGAGACAACTTGGGCGCACAGCAAATGACATTTCCACAGCGACCACATGTTTTTCATTCTGCAGTTCAAATTCAGAAGCATCGTTAGAACTGCAGAGCAATTTTATCTCGACTCCAATGTTCAAACTATGAAGCGTTCAAACTTAGGGTCATTCAAAGTACGAGGCACCACTGTATCTATGAATCACATGCCAGTGAAGTAGACATGTCTTCCTTTTCTTACAGGTGATGTTCAAAAAGGGAGCTTCCCAGACCTCAACCAAGCCCTGCCTGTCGCTCCTGCTCCTCCAATAAACCCCTTGAGATGGTACCAAGAGCAGAGCGAGCGAAGCAGAGGTCCTGGGCAGGCCTTTGCTCACATTCTGGTCTCTTGAAGTCAGCAGTGACATGCGCTCACCTGCCGTCCTTGGTGCTTCTCCTCTGCCTGGCTCAGGAGGAAGCCTTCGGCCAGGGCCACCGCCTGGGCACTGGTCTCCGCTCTGCATTCTCTCACCCAGTTCTTAATCTTCGGGGGCAGGACAGTCATGAACTGCTCCAGGATCACCAGGTCCAGCATCTGGCTCTTGGTGTGCTGCTCCGGCTTCAGCCACTGCCGGCAAAGAGCATGGAGTCGGCCGCAAACTTTCCGCGGACCATCCGCCCCCTGGTAGCGGAACTGCCGGAACTGCTGACATTGTATGTCTACGTTGAGATGGTCAAGATGGTCGCCACCCAGGATCTTCCACACTGTTCTTTCCCAGAAGGCATCAGCCTGGGTGGCACATGGACCTCTCGATGCTTTGCAGGCAGCCGGGTCTTGCTCATCCATCTTTGATCCGGGCCCCCCAATGCAAACGATTGCTGCGATCTGCTGATAATTTCCTGCTCGGTACAAGAACGGCTTGAATTTGGGGCAGGGAAGAATCCGGTCAAATAGAAATTATTTCCCGGTTATGAACATAATGAACACAACAAGAGGGAAGAGGCTGCCTAGAAAAACTGGACAACCGATGCCATGATGGTCTTTCTGTAAGGTAAATGAAGGGAAGGATTCAAGAGGGGAATTGGAGGCAGAGAAGTGTCTTCACCCAAGAAGGAAGGGCCAAAGCCCTTGGCTGGTCTCTACGCACAGGCGAAGACTTGGTGTACAATTCCCCTCACTGAGCCACCCTGACAACCACACCCCAGCCGTTCCCAGCATGGCATGAGTTGGACATCTTGGCGTACAGCTCCCACCTGCCACAGAGCCAGCAGAGCCAATGACCAGGGAAGATGGGAGTTGTAGTCCAAGGCAGTACAGTCCAAGGCAATGAAACTCCCTTTCTCTTTTTTCACCCAAGCCTTTCACCAGATGCGGGCTTTTCTCTTCTCCATGGAGCAAACCAGTTTGAAACTGGTTGTCACATGTGTAAACGGATACAGAGTGA